CCCCCCCCCCCCCCCCGCCATATTCACCAGACCTGGGTACCTATTATGGAAATAATCAGAATGGATTCCGATCGAAATTATTCAATTATTCCCTAGATTTCTATTGTGTTTTCTGGGGAAAACGAAATAATTCTGATTATTTCCATAATAGATACCCTGGCCCCTTCCGATTATCACTTGTTCCGGTGGCGCATGGCTTAGCTGGGCTACACTTGGTCAATTTCGAAGAAGTGCAAAATTGGTTGGATGAATGGTCCAAAGACGCGTCGTTTTATCGCCGCGGTATTCATGTATTGCCAGAGATGGCAAAAATGTGTAGCTAGCGAGAGACGATACTTTGAATAAACCATTTTTTGTATTTCTCTTGAAATTTTCCATTTTTCATTGATCAAAAAAACCCGGAGACTTAGTTGCGCACCTATAGTATAAAGATGCCTCGAAGAAAAAAAGTAGTTTGCCGAATGTGTAAAACCATAAAAATAAAAATTACCAAGTCATTGTAGTTAATATCGCGCACATCGCGATATTAAAATATAATACATAATTATTTTAGACTGAATTAATGAAATAATCCATATAATAATGGTACATCGTATAAAATTCTGCATGTATAGACATTTTTCACAAATCTCCACATCAATTTTTTGAAAGATTTTTTCACAATAAAAGATCCGTGATTATCGTTTTTTTCCACGGTAAATGTAAAACGAATATTGCAGATCTGATTGCATTTATATTAAAATTGTAAAATTTATATTATGATTATTTGTGTGGAAATACTCAGAGAGAAGGTACAAAAATTTATCAAATTTTCGTATCGTCCAATTTCAATTTAAGCCGATTTACATGTCGCAAAAAATTAATTTATTTTTAATTATCTCTAAATACAAATATACGAGAAAATTTTTTTCTCTGGTTCTTGAATCCTCGCCACGCTGAAAATTTGTAATTTCTGATGTACTTTCAATTTCGGCAAAATATAAAAACGAATAGCGAAAATATATGTATTTCCTTAATTGAACTAGTTCGATTGCACAGCTTTGGAAAATGGAGTCGTCAAGTCGCCAGAAGGGAGAAGAGCCATCGTCGAGAGAGAGAGAGAGACGTATTTTTTGAAAAGTTTATTTATCCCTAAGAGATATACAAAACAAACATTTCTTCTCGTGTAACTATCATAATTCCCCTAGCAATATAACACAGGAAATTCATGTCATGATCCTTTTTCGAAATATTTCCGCTTCTTCCATCTTTTTTTCTTCGTTTTTTTCCTTTTTTCCCCCCCTTTATTCATCCGACCGTTCTCTCCATGGAACGGATACCGCGTCTCACACAATTTCAGTATCAGTTACAATCCGCTCACTTTTTTTTCGTTCTCTTTTATAACCAGCTATACGTTAAAATTATGCACATCTGCAAATCAGTATTAAAATATTACAATTTGATATTTTACAGTCGTTTGTTATCCGCGTTCTCTAACTCCCTCTAAAAAACAGGTTCCTTTTTTTCGCACGTTTTGCTCTTCAATTGTTAAAATCCGTATCTTTTGCCATCCTTTTTTCCATTTTTTTTTTTTCATTTTACGTCGAGACAATGTGCTCCGGGGAGGGGAGGGAAAGGGAACGGGAGGCGGGGGAGAGACGAAGAGAGATTTTTAAACATCCTTGAGAAAAATGATAAATTTTCCGATCCGCTGCCAAATATATGTATATCCAGGGTGCAAGTGTGTCAAATCTCAATCATAAGTAAACCTCTAAAAATTCATATAGAAACACACGAGTGTAAATGTACATATAAACATATATATTTTTACATGTTTATATGTATATTCATCTCGGCATCATTCAACGACGAAGAGAAGAAGAAGAAACTAGTGAGATCCTATTTCTGTTTTTCTTTTCATCGTTCTTTTCACTTATCGGTTACTCGACTCCTCTCTCAGTCCCCTCTCTAATCCCGAATACGATTAGAATCACTGTACACGCTATAGGATCTAGGAATGTTAATATTACAAGAAACCACAATAATTTATTATAATACAGCCTGCTGTACACCAGATGACTCGAGGCAGTACAAGACAGAGAAAACGCCTTTTCTTCGCGGGGAGCTTATCTCCTATTAATCCGATCACTCCCGGGAATATGATTTAACGAAGGAAACGACGGTTATTATATCATTCACGTGAGTCTCGAGACGAGAGATTTGAACGTATTACCCTTTTACTACTTTTTATTTTTTTTTCCAGTGAGTTAAAAACGAATGTGAGAGGGAGAATGGCGATGGTAAGGGGCAGGGACCACTTCAGTATCGGGCTAAGAAGAAAAAAAAACAGAGAGAGAGAGAAAGAGATAAAAGGTCAAACGAAGAAGAAAGTACAGAACATCTTACACGGTGCATTAATGACGAATTCGGCACACATGCACTGACTCCGCTCTAATGCTGCCCTGACATGGTGCGAGTGCAAAATTACTTTAGTGCTATGCTAAATTGCACTGTCAGAAATATTTGCACGTCAGTGCAATATTTCTTGAATACGTTCAGTTCATTCGGTTGGTCCGAAAAATTCAGCATTACACTGGGCTCAGTTTTTATTTATCGGATCTGACAATCTTAACGCACTGAGACAGTGCGCACAAGCCGAATGCGTGGTATTGAAAAAGTTGTTTAAGCACTCAGTGCGCACTAGTGCAGTCTGCCGAATTCGCTATAAGACTACGATCGCACGAGAGTCGCGCGTCAATTTCAATATTATACTACGACCAACATTATTTATTCGTCTATTATCCGTTACTTTATTTTAACGCTCCTGCGACTGTAGCCTTAAAGAAAAATAAAGAAATAAACATAATTCTGCTGGTATTATCAAAGTCAAATTTAAAGTTAATAAATGTTAGAACGGACGTGGAGTTGCGGTCGAATTTATCGGACAAGAGACAAAATTTTGTTGGTTGCAGGCCGCCGGCAGCCTCAAAACAGCGCGAATATCTACGATAAAAAATGGAATTTCGTTTTCGTAAATACAGTAGTTCGTCGTTTTTGATAAACAAGCATTAGAACTTGGCGCGGCGATACCGCTGCTCCACAAGAATATCGTGCTACTAATTTTGATTTAATATTAGGTCCCTGCACATGAAATGTCGATTTTATATATACATCAACGTATTTTTAATTTCTGAACGAGTATAAGATGCATATAAATTGTAGGATAATTGAGAAAACTCAATTCAACATTTCTTAATAATTATTAAAAAAGATCAATAAAAATGTTCACAAAATCGTGACCGAAAATACAGGAAACTTAAAGATAAAAAGATATAAAAAAAATATATATATTTCCAGTTTTATATTCCGGACGTTAAATTTTGTATACACTTGATCATTTTTTTTTCACACGATTCGTTCTAAGTATGTAGTGTCTACAATAAACCATTTCTAAATTATTTCTTACAATTAATTCTTAATTTATCAAAAACCAATATAGAAATCATATAATTATAATAAAATAATATAGAATTAAAGGTAATGGTAATAGTAACACATTAACAATATCAATATTATTAATGTCCGGTTGAAATATCTTTAAAATAGAAAAATATAATAAATTTCTCAATTTTTTCGTGTATTTCCACAGTTTGAAAAAGCAATAATTATGATCGTATTATTGTATTATGCTCGCGTATAAGAATTATAAACATACATAATTCTGATTATTAAAAAGAGGTTCACTTTTTCAAAAGGTGACATCTCATATGCAACGATCTAATAGAGAAGCTGCGAGCTACATACACATGCACTCTCTTTCTCTCTCGCACACAGTTTCTCCCGATTCGATTCGTCGCATCGTTTATCGGCTAGGTAATTAAGGCTCAATCACATGGTGGCTCGTGGCTTGTAACACCGCCGTGTAATATCGAAAAAAGTACATCGTACGCTAAAAAAGACGTAGAGAGTCGCCGGAAAATTCAAGTCTGCGTTAAGATACACGTATACTTAATTCTAAACGTACTTACAGCTACTACAAGAGACATGTGTGTATCTCGATAAAATCAATTATATATTCGCAAATATGCGTAAAGCGGCCCCATGCCCCATCACGCGCGCTCAACATGATCGATTTGCTAAAAATATACGAAAGAAAAAATGAAGCTTTCTGTACAAGGATATACAACAATTGTCTTTACGTGTCTGTGTCTGTGTATGTGTGTGTGTTTTGTGTATGTGTGTATATATACGTGTCCATGCCATAACGACGCTGACAACAAGTGAACAGAATTGAACTGAACTGGAATTGAACTGAACTAAGAGAAAGATCCCCAAAAGTATAGTACATGCCTGTCCAATCTGAACTCCGGAGCTAAAACGCAAAGCTGACGCAAAATAATTCAATGTAGGTAAGATTTCGTGGACTGTAGAGTGTTGATACGCATTTAAGTGACGCTTATCGACAGTTTACGATTTCTAAAATCTTACATTGAATTTTTTTATGTCGATGGCTTTGCGTTTTGGCTCTGGAGCTCAAAATGGATAGGCCTGGTATAGTATATTAATTTTGCAACGACACACAATATGACTTGCCTCTCTCGAGAACGAGGATCTAAAACAGTGATCTCTCCCGTGCCAATGGCAATGCGTGAAAAAGACAATCGAAAAAGCATGATTTTTGCATATCGGAAAAAATCCAAAAGGACACGTAAAAAGAATTACAACTATCTCCGATCCTCGTGCTAACGGGGCCGTCATTATCGCGGCGTTTCGTCATTAGTAAACTAAGCTACATAGCTCATAATTATAGCGTCGACGGAGCAAAAAGTCAACAATGATTGAGCCCCTGCGCCTTCCATCCGGATAGAGAAAGTATGGGCCTTGTCTTATCTCTTCCGCTTTTGTTTTTAATTCATGGTTCTGATTTCTTTTTTCTTTATTATCTTCTGCTATCCTACTAGCCGCTTTACATCATCGTTACTATCAATATGTTAAAGTACAAATGTTCACTCACACAATGATCCTCGCTCGCTCATGCTCGCGCACCACTCATGCATACCAGTTTTTCCTTTTAAAATAATTACCATAATTAGCGCGGATTACTTTATCATTATCGTAAATAATCGGGGAAAGAATTAGGAGGTTGGTTGGTGGGGATTGTTGAAGAGCTTGGTTGATTGGTAGGTTGCTTGGTGGTTAGTTGCTTTGTTTTCCTAGTGATGGTGGTGTAAGTACGCTCACGCTAAGGTCAATGGTACGTACAGTAGGTGAGGTATGCTTTCAGGATGAAGGACACGGGGTGATAGATGAAGAAATTTCGACGTGCATCCGCTATTCGTCGTCATCCTTCCATTCTTCTTCGCTGTCGCTTTTTATTGTAGTTTGGTTCGCCTGCGCACCTCCTACCATTGGGGCTCCGTCATTTTGCATTTTCTTTTTGTACGCGGTCATTTCCTGCGAGAGGAAAAGGTATCTCATATTTATTTCAAAAATATTTGAATTTATCTCATAAATCCATTTAATCAAATCGATTTCAATTGTGCCAAAAGGTATATTAATATATTCCGACATACAGACGTATATAGGAAAACCTATTACTTTTAGTTTCTGATTTTACATGATTGCAATACAGGACTAGGGGTCTTAGTGGTTAAAAGCATAAGGTTGATAAAATTTCGATACGTTACCCTTTCGTATCGAGCTTTATCCTTTTCTGCCATAGCCTCGTATTTGGATTTGGTTTCGGGATCTGCGTCCGACCATTTCTTGCCTAATTCCTTAGCTATATCACCTACACCATATTCAGGATTCAGCATTTTGACCTTACCACGTTCGTCGTTGCAGAACCAGAAGAAAGCAGACCTGATAAAATTAATCATGAAATATATCTGCGGCTATTGAAAGGGTATCATATGATACGATAATATATTAAGCTAGCCATTTTGTAGAAACTGAAAAATAATTATAACTTTACATTAAAAAATAATTTAAAAGTTGCAGGAAACGGATCATAAATTTCTCTAAAATGCGAGTAAAAGCTTAAAAAAAAAAGTTAAATTTTTGTTTCCATTTAAATTTTAAAATTTATTTTTCTCGTTGCATATTTAAATATTAATCAACGAATTTTTTTTCCTCGAAATACATTATGTAAAAACACGAGGGCTTACAGCGATCTCTTGGGAGCATTGTGATCCTTGATGTGTTTACGTTTCTTGCCCCTGCCCTTATTTTCTCCCTTAGGCGGCGTATAGTTCTGCATCTCCGTGTCGTATCTCTTCTTATCCTTCTCTGCCATTTCGTGGAAACGTTTCTTCTCGATGTCTGACATAGTCTACGACACATGCGGTATTCCGCCAATGTAACGTTAGCGTTTTTAGTTGGTCTCACAGATCGAGCCACGTGCGATAAATGTTCAATTACTGAGGAAATAAGTGTTTCTCGGCCGGTCCAGTATATTCTGTCGTGTACAGTCGCGTGCATGCGGGATAATGAATACTTTAAAAGACTCATTCTTTAATGACAACGTCACGATGCGAAAGATTTTTGCATGTATCGGTTGAATTTTCTTTATCAATAATCTCGATTCCGCTAAACAAGATGAAGATTGACGGTTTAACGAGGCGAGACGTGTCGGTTCGTAACGACGCACTTAAATACCATACTTGCGCGTGACGTTTACCGAGCACTACATATTTATTCAGAGGCCAAGATCAAAGTAGCTCTCGCGAATCAGTAGGCCTTTATAGACAGAAGAACATTATGTATCCCACTCTCTCGCTCGCACCTCGAGCTGTGAAACCACAACATACGGGGAAATCCAACAAAGTATCATTTCTAAGTTAGTTCTTACATTCCTCTTGGTCTTAGTAAAGAGATCTATTAATTTATCTCGAATTTATTTGCATAGAATAAGATATTAATATGAAAATTACTTATTTCTATAAAACATATTTATAACATTATATCTATAAAAATATGATTTGTGCATAATGAACTATAGGGAATAATTCTTAAGAGAGTCTCACCTTCCACCTCATTGCACACTTTTTGGAGAATTCCCGGAAGACGATCTTTTCCTCGGGATGCTTCTTTTTATGCTCCTGACGACATGTCTGGACGAAGAACGCGTACGCTGTCATCCGTCCTCTTGGCTTCGAATCTTTTCCTCCTCTCGGCATATTGTCCCGCTGCAGACTCTGAGCGTTATTTTGTTGAAGATTATTTTGCGGTATCTGCTGTATCGGGTGCTGAAATCCAAGCAAACGATCTACAATGCAAAACGCTGCCGCGGCAAACAGACTGCAAAAGACCTGTTAACGCCTTTAAAACAGCAAGTCTCGACAATTTCTACTCTTATACCAAAGAAGATTTCTGAGACGAAAATGCTTCTCTATATTTCGATATGAAAACCAAAAAAAAGGCTCTAAATTCTCAAAATAGAAATCTTCCATTTAATATATTGAAAGAAGCTCTTAAATGCTAAAATAGAAAACTTCCACTTTCGCATCGGAAGAAATTTAAATTTAAAAATAGAAATGATCTATTTTTACGTGTCATAATTATTTATCTATCTTTAGGAATATTTTACATTAAATCGTAAAATAGAGATTTTCTATTTTTAAATCGAGAAAAATTCATATATATATATTTGTTAATACGCGAAGTAATATGCGCTGTATCGTCGTATTATGAGAAATTTGCATAAGTAAGAGAAGAGACTTCCTCGCGTGTTATTAGCTCACGAGGAGCAAAAAAATAAAGATTCTTTTTTACTGTGATGCGAAAGATTGGTCACTTAGGACATTGCTGCGAGCGAATTTAGCAAGATATACGCGATAATATAACTGAGACGTGTCGTTACGCACTTTACGTAATACGACTTGCGTGTTAAATTAATGAACGGCTGCGGCCCGCGATCTCACATTGACAATGAGACACACGTAACAATGCTCGCCGTACAAACGCGCGTTTTTGATTTTGTCAAGTAACAATGGTCATTACATTGTACGTACGTGTAATATTATACAGTATATTATCATTATGTATATAATTATTATGTTGTTTATTACACATAATGCCATATAATAATAATACAGATTGGCATTATATTATTATAATTATATTATCAACAATGTTACATGCTTGTTACCACTCCAACCGTAGTCCCGCAAGTCTCATCATTGCGGAGAGTTACTGTTAAACTTAATAATTTGACGTAGATTTATAAACAAAATAATTATATAGATAAAATAAATAAATAAATACGAAAACACACATACATATGTATGTCCATCACGTGTCTTCGTTATGGATGAAAAATAAATAAAAATTGAATATTCTTCCAAACGTCGCTGTTGATTGATAATTTCAGAATTGAAAGCAGACAAAAAGCATCTAGGTATATAGAGGTAAATAAAAAATGTCTATTTTTTTAGACATGACTCGAAGCACGTGCGCACTAGTTTGTATACATTCATGCTATACACGTCACATAACCGATCGGGCTATGCTCTTGCTCCGTGGCTCTTTGAAATGTGTAAGACGTGATATAGCACAATTATACTCGTACTATACGTACAATATACCGACCGTTATTACTCCGGATTGCGGATAATAATAGTTACCACGTACCTGCAGAAATAATCGGAAATCTAGTTGACCTACGTGCGGATGTGAGATCTGCCGGCAAAATAACTACTATGTAGAATCGACATTGTCATTGAGTCGCTCCATAAGTAATGCGGGTTTCTTTTTCACTTTCAGACGATGTAAAACATAAACGACCGCTTCTTTTGCGGATCTGCTTCCGCGATCCGGTAACTCGCATTATTTATGGGACGGTTCAATATATCGCATTACATAAAATATATACCTGACTTAATTAATTAATTACGTCTGATTTTTGTTAATTAATTAATTAATATTCAATTTTGATGGCAAGCGTTCTTAAGAACTAATTTACCTACGCATCGAAATGTCTGAGAACAAAAGAGTAAAAACGGAATGTCTGAGTAACGAAAGAGTAAAAACGACTTTCAAGGTATATCCCGCAACGAAACGATTTCGCGTTATTTTTCCCTTCTCGCTTTCCTTCTCGCACTCGCCGCGGTATACAAGGGATTAAGAATTTATGCCCCTTGGGCCGCAGGCGTTACATTACGGCATATGGTTTCCTATGGTCTCGCAATGCGCGCGATGGAAATAAAATTAACGTCGGGCATCACGGAAACGGAAGTCAGATGTTTGCGACGAGGAATATTCTACGAACAACAACAAAAAAAAAAGACAAAAGAAAAAGCTTTAAGCTTGTGACCGCGATTGCGGTCTCGTTTGTTCAGCAGGTGTTCTTTCATACCCAAACACTCTCTCATTGACGTGAACGCACTGCGTACGATTTTTTATTAATCTGTCAAAATATTAGCAAGAAATTGAAAAATCCTACGTTCCTTCAATTGGAAATTTAACGAGTTTATATATTGGCAGAAATATTTTAGACTATTTTAAATAGAACAATCGAAAGTGTTCTGCGCATTTTCTAACATTAGAAACATTTATTGATTTACTTTACACTATAAATTTGTTCCTTCATATTAACTTTTCTTTATAAATAGTTGAGGAATTATGAAGAAATTAAAGTAATTTAATAGTCTGGTTTCGATAATCAGAATCAAATACTAGCACTTGGTGTTTGTCTACCATTCTCTCGTTGAAAATTGTTGCTGTGTCCATTTGAGACAAATGCTAAGAATCATACTTACAAAGTATTATCTCGAGATCTACCCGTGAGTGACTCTCGGATGTAAAGAGAGTAAAAGTGTAAGTAAGAAAGTAACTCTACGGTATATTTTTCAGTACAGTGTCCATTTGTATGACTCTTGAGAGTGACTCTCGACTGCAGCTCTCTCAAATAGACACACACACGAGCCATTAATCTTTTTACTACAGAGTTCCTGACAAACGTAGGTACGTTAAACTCTAAGTATACTCGTATCGGGGATCATTACCGCGTGTCTGTTAATTAAAGCGTAAATTGTGCCGATGATACGTAAGTTTTGGTAACGGCACGGTACTGTACAATTGTAGGCGGGTATAAAGTTTAGAAATCGTTTTAATTAAAAAAAACATATACGCGCATGAGAAACCGGGCCGAGGGAATAAGAAAGAGGTGAAACACATTCCTCGTTTGTCGGCATGTTACATGAAGTCGAACAATCTAAAAAAAAAAAAGATCATTGTATATGTTAAATCGTTAATGTGAAAAAAATAATCTAGTTTTCATTCCTCTAAGTAATAGAAATATTTTGGTGATTTTAAGTAAATATTAAATAGTTTAATTCTGTAGAGATACATTCGGAACAAGTTGTTTCATTCATTAAAGTGACGTAACTTTTCGATGGAAAATCGAAATCCGACTCTACCTACACATGTCTATTATCTTCTACTTCAAATAGCTAAATTTTAGTACTTCATGGAACTTTTAACGAAAAACGTTTAAAAGTTTCAGATTGAGATATTGTGAAAACGTGTAAATTACGTCGCTCCTTTCGAGCATTATTATTTCGAAAGTGCGTAATCGGTCCGATCATTCATCATCACAAACTTTCATACGTGAACTTTCATATGTAGTCTAACATATATTCCGGAACAGGATTCCGCTTTCGTCGCACTATTACAAGTTCCGATTATCCATTAACGATGAGAGAAAAATTACACGTGACTTCAATATCACTGTCAATATCAATGATCAAGATCGAGAGATCGCCAGAAGAAGATGGCAATCTTGGATTCCTATCAAATTCACAGGAAAGGGATCTGACGTTTTTTTTCCAGAAGAGAAAAGACGACTTCAAGTAACTGTACATCGTGACGACGTAATCGATTAAAAAGCTAACATAATATAAATGGAAATTTTATGAAAAGAAAAAACCGTTTTTAATTAAACACTATTAATTATCAGTTAAAAATGGTAAAGCCATGGTTTTCCTGATATTACAAAGAAATAATCTCTTTTTTGTTTCGAACACTCACTGGACAAAAAGAATGGTTTTGCTAAAGTGTCTAAAAATTTAACTAGCTACAAATCTAAAAATGATTTTGTCATAATAAGGTTACATAGGACGTTCAAGCTGACTAGAATACCAAATTTTTTGCAGCATTGCTCGTTATGGTCGAGTTTCCTACATAATTATTCTAATAATTCAACAAAATTATTTTCAAATCTGTAGATCTGAAAGAAGTATTTTATATGAATAATCATAATTTGATTGATATGAAAATCACAAAAACTTTATTTTCCAATTGAAAAATGAGAGAGTTTTTGAAATTCACATATCATAGCTAAACGTTTAATGTTTCAGCAAAATTATTCTTTCCGTGTACTTTCTCATGTAAATATATGCATATAAATCTTTCCAATATTCTCGAAATCTAAATTTTAAATCTGAGCAGTCTCGATCAATGTAAACTAAACAAACAACCTAAAACGAAGGAGAGCATGAAGCGTCTGTGAGGTCAATTAGGGAGTATTTCTGTTCCCTTGTATTTGACAAATTTTTCGATCTGTTCCGTTTAGTTGCAGGGTATCTGCGTTCTCCTTTGACCTTCCTCTCCCCTCTTTTCTCGCCACACACGACGACCGAATGCGTGCTTGGAGAGCAAAAAAAGGGAGGGAGGGGGGAAGGGGGCAATTAAAAAGAACAGATCTCTTGACACTTAGTGCTAATGTGAAATCGCGAAACGAGCAACGAGAAAGAACGCGATAATATCAACCGGCAAGCGCGGCCGGACTTGCTGAACGCGAACGCACTTATGAAGAAGGCCGCACGAAACCCGGAATCAATAGCGGACGGCGGATGTACGTACGTACGGATGGACGGACGGACGAACAGACGAACGGACGGACGGACGCGACGGGATGAAAACCGCGCGCGCGAGTCGGGACAGGAACCCGAGAACGATGAAACGCGCGAAAATCCATGCCCAATCAACCAGACATTGGGATACGATGACAATCGGAATTGCTTCTCAACTCTATACATGCGTACTCGAATTATCAGACGAAGAATCACTCGAGAATCTGTCTCTTTCTTTCTCTCACATTAAGCACGTTTTTTATTCCCGCACCGAAACTTACTTCCTCGCTGTTGCCAAATATCAAACGTATATCTCTATTTCATTTTTTGAGTTCCGAAAGTATACTAGTTTAGTTACAAAAAACAGAGCTAATATGTATCATGTTTTTTTTTTCTCGTACTCAATATCCCCGTAGAATAGCTTTACACGACACGAAATCCTTTTTGATTCGCACGAGATAACCGAAAGAGGATCTCAAGGGTTCCCGTCTCTCCATCGCATCCATCCAGATCCGCATGCAATCGCGAATCTTGTCGAGGCGAAGCAGGCAAAAGAGCCGACCGATTAGTCGGTCGTTTGCCTTTTCCGAAAACGTTAAAACGAGCGAATACTTTAGGAAGCTTTATTAAAGTCTTTGGAATTTTCTTCATAGGAAAAGGTTACAGAATTTATATCGGGGAAAAATCAGCTCGAAATTGCCTAAAGATTCTATAGGATTAAAGGAATGCGATTAATTGAAATACCCCGTATACAAGATAAATCGTACGAATTTGTTCTGTTTAACTCGTCATTACACGAAGTTGCGTTACAAAAAAAAATCACGTTTCTATTCTACGTATTTCTAAATTCCTTTCCTCTCTTCTATACAAATAAAAAATCCAGTTACCAAGATTATCGTTGCCGGCGATCGGTGAAAATCGATCAATATATGCACCGAAATTATATACCTCTCTCCAATAACAATTCCTTCTTTTTACTGCGAAATCGCTAACACAAGAGATGATAAGCGGAATTTCTATAGGAATACTGTGTTTCCTTGCCTTTATACGCATATGAAACGACACCGAAGAAAACGAAGGATACGAACACCATGCATATACCTTTTATCGCAATTATCGCAATCACGTTCCCGGATCGCCTCGTCGTTGCCTATCAAAGCCTACCCCAAGTACAACCGAAGGGATATACCTAACTTTTCTCTCGATACCTGGGCCTATCGCCGCTGACGATCTTAATTCCTTAACATATCTTCGAGATGCAAGCAGTGAGGCGAGTTCGTCTCAGGTAAAACCCATCACGACTCGATATTTTTAATTTAAAATGAGATATAAATTCACCAAATATCAAAAGAAATATGAATAATATATACAGAGAATTGATTCACGAATGAAGTGAATGTGTTTCGTTGGAATCGTCGATGACACGATTTCGTTAATTAAGGATTAACCACTTTGCCAAGATTCGTTGATGCTCGAATCAAAATTTGCGTGTTCAAACTACATTTTCCAGTAATTGTGAAAATCAACAACCGATCGAATACTATAACGAGATAGAAGGGACGGACAAAATCAGACAAAGCTTTCCGTCAGACTGGCAAAAAGACAAGCAGGAAGAGAGACAGAGAAAGGAATCTTTCATTAAAAAATTATACATCGTATGAAAAAAATCAACTTGCGTGCAGCGAATGCGAAATCATATTTGGGAATTTTCTTGGTATATTTCTTGCGCCTTATAAATCGCGAGCGCGCGCGCGTGTTACTCCAGACAAATTATTTTATAACTTTATAATTAAAATTATATATATTTGGGATATTTAAATTACTTAACGAACTCATGTCCATTTTTACCAGTATAAATTTTATTAACTTTAATCTCGGTTCAACTTGCTCCTCATCTTTTTCTAAAATTTTTAGAACTAGAAAAAATGAAGAGTTATTGAACCGAGATTAAAATTAAACTACATGGTAGAGACGGGCATCAGTAAAAGCATTTGAAGCATAAAGAGTGAGATCGTTAAAATGAACGGACTCTGCCGCGTATTTCACTGGAGGCGTTCGGAAAAGTTGTCAAAACTGGCCGCATGGCCACCTGGTCGAACCGGCTATATCTCTGTCTTCGTATTACAGCCACCCGCTCGCTCGCTCGCTCGCCGAGCGCGCGAAAGTAGCCGAAAGACCGACGAGCAGGGGGAACGAGGAGGAACGAGGGGACAGAGGGGTGAAGAGCGAGGTCGTCGCGTTTCGGCCTACGTATCTACTACTACAACGTGGTACAAAGGCATCGCATAAACGCCAATCCGTTACCGAACGGCCGTTTCTTAGATCGAACGAAGATTCAATTTGCGCGCGACAGAGGAACGATCTTTCTTTTAGACGAATTTATATTCACGCAACAATCTTTAATCGTTTCCCCAATTTTGAACAATGGCGACTCGCGAGCATTGACTGACAATTAATTGAGTTCAGTCTTTTTATCGTGTCTTATCTATTTGTGTCACCTTGAAACTCGACGCGAATATCTTGGATCTTTGTAATCAAAATGCGGACATCCGGTAACGCAAAAGCATTTATAAAATGCCTAAAGGAAGCGCAAAGGTAAAAAAAAATGGGGAGGGGGGAGGGGGAAGACTTTGGCGCCGCTTGCCAAGAACGCGGGAAAAGAAACCGCCGTCGCGCGCGCGAAAAGGGAGACGTTACTTTTTCTTTCTTCTCGAGGCGCGAGGGTACGGTTACTCGTACTTCGCAACATACCGGGGACATAACGGGGGGCGTGGACGTTTGCGTGGTAATGGGCGAGAGATGTTGCTGCTGCGGCTGCTGTTGTTGCTGCTGGCCCTGCAACTGCTGGTGCAGGTTGTTCTGTGCGGCAGCGTCCATGACTCCGCCTGGATACCACCACTGTACGCCGGGCGGCGGTGCGGAAGGTG